CCTTGGCACCAGCTAAAGATGCCAAGCTGAGCTCTGTGTTCTGTCTCTCCCTCTCTCCTTCCATGGACTATTCAGTTCTGTACTGTTGGAAAGATTCCAGGGTAAGCTTGAGAAGGAAAAAAAAAAGTCCTTCCCAACCATGTATTGTGAGCAAACACTGGTCTCTGCGCCCACGCCAGGCCGGAAGCCCAGGCAGCAGCAGGCGCTGTTTCTTAGCAGTCCCAAAACTGAGGAGCCCATTGCGCTCTCCGGCAGGGCTGGGGCTCTGTACCCAGCGGGAGGGACCTCGACGCAAGGGTAGACAAGCAGGCTTCATGGAGGTAGCCTCTGGCCGTCCCTCAAGTCGCCTTCAACATCACTGTTGAATGAGTGGCTTGAATGAGTGACTGTAGCCCCACTGTGTTTCCCCATGGCCCTCACCTGTGCACAATCAGCTCTCAGTTTACCGCCTGCACCAGGATTTACCTGGAAGAGTACTTTCTCCTGTCGGGTGTGTCACCCAGCGAGCACCTCCTGTAGGTAGAATGCTCTAATCCTCGTGCGTGGAGGCGGAGGAGACTCAGTCTGCTGTGGTGAAGCACAGTGTTGAAGAGTGCCGATTCAGTGTGAACGATGGTGCGGGGCCTCCTTCACACAAGCTTAGGACGCAGTCTTCATAAAGGTGTCAGTTTCTCAGAAAATTCTGAGTGCGCCCCACCCTGAGGGAAGCCACTGTGGAGGACACTTGGTAAGATCTGTCTGCTACCCACATCACTGAGGAGACCCAGGCAGATGAGGCTCTGTCAGCTGCTCTTCTGGCTTGACGGCCGGACGGTGGGACAGTGGGACACAGGACAGCGGAACAGTGGGACAGGGGACAATAGGACAGTGGGATGGTAGGACAGCAGGACGGTGGGACAGTGGGACGCAGGACAGCGGGACAGTGAAATGCTGGGACAGCGGACAGTTGGACAGTGGGATGGGGACAATAGGACAGTGAGATGGTAGGACAGTCAGCCAGGGGACACTAGGACAGTGGGATGGCGGGACAGCGGGACGGTGAGATGGCAAGCACCTTTTCTGCACACAGTAGTGGTTCTCATTCTTTTCAGTGTTCCAGTGCGTAAGTCCTAGTTCCCTCAGGACACATTTTATGGGTACACGTTTTACCCAGTTCTTTTCTGAGTCAGGGCTCTCTGTTGGGTCGGGAGGATCTCGGTCGTAGTGTTTGCCAGGAGCAATGGCAGCACCAACCATCTCTTTCCTGAAACTTAGGACTTTTATTCAGGAAACACCAGGGGTTTTGGAGCTGCGTGAAAGAACAAGAGACTCAGAACACACTCCTTGGTAGGATCTGCACTGGCCATTGCCTGGTTTTGTCTCTGTCTTCTGTAGCTTACGACCCTGAGGCACACTGGGGTGTTGGTCTTCATTGTTAAACTCCTTTTACCCCACTCTTTTAATGACACATGGGGAGAGTGTGGGCATTCCTGTTCGGATGGAAAGGTAGCCTGGGATGGAAGCCCAGAAGCTCTGAGGTGGGCAGCGCCCCAGTGGAAGGGAGCTCTGAAAGGAGGCTCCTCAGCAGAGCACTCTACCCCACTCCCTTGCTAAGCGGAGTAACTCCGCCCTCTTCTCTTCTGGGCTTCTTGGCCTCCTTGAGAGAATCGCACCAAATCTCACAAGAGAGATTTACTGGGAGGGAAGGCTAGGTTTAGAGGGTTGAATCCAGAGGTGGTTGAGTCTGCTCCAGGGAGAAGCCAGCAGGGAGCTGAACAGTAGGCAGGGCTTATATAGGACCTATTAGGGGTGGAGCTGTCCAGAGCAGAGATTTCCAGCCTGAGGATTGGTGGGATTTCAAGTCCTGAGCTTGGGGGAGCTCAGGGATTGGTGGGATTTTTCTTGCAGGGCAGGCTTTGGGCACTCTCCTGCCTCAGGGCTAGAATGACAGAAAATGACTCTTAAGGGAGTCCGGAGGTGGGGCCTGGCTGCTGGAGCTCCTCAGGCAGGCCTGGCCGCTTTCCTGCCTTGAGGGTTTACAAAGTTTACAAAGTGAGCCCAATTCAGGGAAACCGCTTGAGTCGGCATGAATAGCCAACAAAGAAGCAGATTGTTTTCTTCTTTAATGGAGAAAACAGCATTTTAGTCAGTGTCTGTGCTCTACCGAGGATTGTTTAATGCATTTAGTTTAGCTTCTGTTGCTGTGATAAAATACCCAGCCTAACAGCAACTGAGGGGGAAAGGGCTTATTAGGGCTTTGAGGTCCAGAGCGATGGAGTCCACTGTGAGAGGAGAAGGCTTGGTAGATGGCAGGGAAGCATGTATCAGGAGCAAGAGGCAGCTGGGCATGAGGCCAGGTGCAGAGACACACTTCCTCCAGCAGGGCACATAACCACCATCACCAGAGGCCAGAAGAGGATGTGGGCTCCCCTGAGCTGGAGGTCCAGGCCCTTGGCAGCTGCCTGATGTGGGTCCTGGGGTCCACACTCATCCTCTGGAAGAGCAGAGCACACCCCTAACTTGAGCCTTCTCTCCAGTGCCCATCCTCAGAAACTCTAGGACCGTGAGCTGGTTCTTTTCTCCCTCCCACCCAGGGAGCTGCTGAGGGGCTTTTCTGGGCCACATCACAGCCTGTGACGGAGAGCGCTCCTGTTCACAGACGCGAGGGCTTCGTCAATGTGTGTAGATTTGCCCCAGAAAGGGCTTGGTTGTCCGCGCAGCTAAACTGTTCTTTTCAATTGTGCGTTTTCTACAGCTGAGGGAAATAAATGTAAAAGTTACAGAGGTGGTTTCCACAATGCATCTATTCCTTTAATGCAGGTATCGATATGCATGTATTTCTTTGGTTTGAGGGATTCTTTTTAATTTTTTTTTCTTCTCAAGCTGGAGAGATGGTTCAGTGATTAAAGGTGAGTGCTGCTCTTGTAGAGTACAGGGTTTGGTGCCAGCACCCATTTGGTAGCCCACAACCACCTAAAACTCCAGTTCCAGGGAACCTGGCACCCTCTTCTGGCCTCGGCAGGCACTGCACTCATACAGACATGCAGGTACACATAATTAAAAATAAATATTTAAAAAGGTTATTCCTCTGGCTCTATGAATATTTTCTTTGGAGACAAACTGATAGCTTTAACATTTTTAAATTTTTATGTCTATGAGTGTTGTCTACATGTATGTATGTGTACTACATGCAGGAATTATCCAAGGAGGCCAGAAGTAGTCATTGGATCTGCTGCAACAGTCTATAATTACAGACTGTTGTGAGTGGCCATATGGGTGCTGGGACTCAACTCAGGTCTTCTGCAAGAGCAGCCAGTGTTCTTAACCTCAGAGCCACGTGTCCAGCCTTCTTGTCAGTGGTTTCATTTTTCAACTGTATATTGAAAATTATTTGTTTGGTTTTTTTTTTTTAATCAGTCAAGGAAAATGAACTAGGCTCATTCAGTGTAACACGAACTTTTCTCTCCACCATGCCTCATTGACATCCATTACCTATGACCTGTTTTGTGTTGCACCTTTTAAAAATATCATGTAGCATTTATTTCAAGAGTTATGACTGTCCCATTGACAAGGTCACCGTACATACAGAAGTATCTTCATGTTTGCTAAAACGATCATCTCCTGCTGCCCCAGCAGCTTTCAGCATTCCCACTAACAGGTGTTGCAAGCTGGGGTTAGAAGCTGCCAACCCTGGCCCACCAACCATACTGCAGCTGTCTACCTGCTGGAGGGGCCCGGAGGGAGGCAGCTTTAAACCCAGGGATGAGTTGAGCTTTTACAAAGCTGTAGGACCAAAACAGGAATGTGGGCTTTCTACAGCACCCTCCCCTTCACACCACTAAAGTGTGAGTGGAGGACAGTGAAGCAGGGGAGGGGCCTCGGGCTTCATGAGGGTTCTCTCTGAATTTGTGACCAAGACCCACTTCTAGGCCATTTTTCCCCACTTTCCTAGCAATTTGCTTCTTGTGTGCTTCTTCCACAGGAAGGACAGCAGAAATTGCAAACAAAATCTATGTCAAGATCAGGTTATACAAGGGTTATAAAGAAAAAGAGAAAACAAAAACAAATGAAAATAGACCTCTCTGAAGAAAACCAGAAGGCAGGTTTTCTCCTCCAGGTCTTTGCCTAGGAGAGACAATGAGGCCAGGGAGATGGTTCAGTCAGTTACGTGCTGGCCATGTGAGCACAGAACCCATGAAACAAAGCAGGGTTTGGTGGCACACGTGTGTAATCCCAGTGGCAGAGACAAGATACCCTGGGATGCTTGGATTGGAAGTCTCAGGCCAATGACAGACCCAGTTAAAAACAACCACCACCACAACAAAAAAAAAAAAGGTAAATGGCTCCTGAGATACCCAAGGTTGGCTCTGGTCTCTACAGGTACATAGGTACATGTGAATGCACACTCACCATATGCACACCCACACAAACATGCACATACATGTGCACAAACATACAAAGTGAGGGAAGCCGGTGCATTCAGCTAGTGCCGCTGTTAGGAAAGGACTAGGTGTTTTCTCTCAAAACAAAACAAGGTTTATTGCAATAGATATCTTTTACAAAAAAAGGCTAGAATAAAGATCTCACATTTGTAAAGGCACATAGGAAACATTTTACAGCAACGACGAGGACACAGACAACATCCTCGAGGACCAATATCTAAATAAGACTTTGTAAAAACAGGAAACAGTGCAAAAAAATACTGTCAAAAGTCAGCTCCCTACACCTCAGAACTGTGTAAGCGGCTGGCAGGCAGAAGCTTATTACTGATATACATACGACAGTTCACGGAACAGCACGCACAGCTTTATTTCATATTATCCGTGTGACAGGGAAGTCTGTGCCAAAGTATAGTCAACGTGAGCATCGGAAACTTAGCAAGGAATGTCCTCTTGTCCGCTTTCACCAGCCCTCAGCTGCAGTTTGCTGGGAAAGGCTTGACCACTGACTGCTGAGGAGCAGGTGGCTGCCGGGAAGAGGGCTGAGTCCCAACCTGGAATGCCTTTTTTTTTTTTTTTTTTTTTTTTTTTTTTTTTAACAGCTTACACCATAGTGGCTGCTAGGTCCAGGATGGCCCACAAAAGCCAAACACATCTGACACAGCACTGCGCTCTAGCCATGGTGGAGGCCTGTGGGCCGACCCCAGAGCCCTAAAGAAAGCTGGTTTCTGAGGGCAGGGTGTATATAAAATAAAAGCTATAAAATGTCAATTATTTTGAAGGAAACCAAAATTCACAACATCTGATAGAAATGACCAAAAGAAACCATCAAAATGCTGAATGAAGGAGTGATACGAGTGAAACAAACTAGCCAGTTATGTAGGTAACAAGTCACAAAAGGTTACACTTTTAATAGTCATCTGCACATGTAAACCCCACCTGCCTCCCAGGGAACCCTCAGCCAGGCCAGCTGACCACTGACGGACGGAGGGCATACACGGGAAGCCATCTCTAATGAAGAGTGAGCTTGTATCTGAAAGGATGCGGTGAAAGAATTTTAGGACTCCCAGTAGTGGCAAGGAACTGCAATAAAATTTTATAGCGTTTGAGTAAATAAAATGGCTGTGAAGGACAGCTTTCGGCTCAATGCTGAAGGTATTTATTAGCTAACACTGCACTGAGGGGGGCAGGAGGCCCCAGAGAAATGCCAAGAACGCCAGGCGCCTGCCCTGGGCCACCTGGCCAAACTCAAGCAGCATTCCTGAGGCTTTAGCGAGAGGCCCCACCCCAAGGCATGGAAAAACCCCATCTGAAATGCTCATTGTATCTCCTCTCAGCCTTCCACCTGAGACAGAATCTGTGTCCCTTAAGGAAGAGGTTGGGGAAGAAAAATTAAACAGGGAAGAGGGGTTGCACAGATAGTTTATCACGAACTAACTGCAACCACAGCATACCCTGTGGGGCTCAGGGGAAGCTCTGCGGGGCGGCTGTCTCACCAGGTGACAGCCAGCAGGGAGAGAGATGAAGCAAACGGTCTAGCAAGCCAGAAATAGGCTAGGCTGCAGGTTACCACGCTGGTGCCTTCACCAAAAAGCCTGCCAAGGGCACCCCAACATAAACAGGAAGCCCTGCTGCCAGGGGTATTCTAATCGTACTAATATCGTTTTGCTTTTCCCTTCTTTCTTCTTCTGTACTAAGGGACCATGTTGCCAGGTGGCGACAGGACGGAGAAGGCCTGAGGAGGCGTCTTTTACCACTTTCATTCTGGTCACTCATCTTCCCAGATCCCATTTCTTGATCTGGGGACACTGTAGAGAAGCTTAAGACCATGTTCCTTTGCCAGATTCAACTTGTATAGGGGCTTCGCGGACAGGGCAGCGGAAATGAAGTGCGAGCGTCAGAGAGCTGATCTGGAAAGCGAGCGAGCAAGGGAAATTGGTGGTGTTCCGAGGAGACAAAGTGACATCCCGAGGGGGTCACCTCAAGCCCACACAACAAGAATGCTCAGTCACTGCACAACTCAGTGTGCATACTTTAAACACAAGTGCCTTGCACAGGGACTGCGAATACTCTCCATGGGAATAGCATGTAAGGACAGAGCTCTCTGCTCACAGGCGCACAGTGTCAGGACAGGGGTCCCCGAAGCCACTGTCCAGGGACAGAGAACACATGTCCCAGCGCATGGCAGGCAGCAGGCAAGGAGCCCAGGGGGAGTAGATCTCAACACTGGACCATGGTCTTCCCTGGACTGTTACATCATGGTTTCCCAGTCTGACAGCACTGCAGGGTTCAAACTGACTGGTATGCACAATGAGTTTTGGGTAAGAAATTCTGGAGTGCTCTAACCTCTTCCCCACCGTGTCTTTGGACAAGCTCTGTTAATACATGATGGTCCCGCCGGCAAGAGTATAGCAGGAGTCACTTTCCACGCAAGAGTTAACCACATTTACGCTGGCATTTGCTCTGGCCCTCCTGCCTGGCAGCTCAGTGTCCTTTAATTTAGCTCTAAAGTGGGGAGGCTGACCGCGGCTCTGGACAGCAAGAACTCACTGCCAAACAACAATACACCATCCATGTGTTAGACTGAAGGCTGCCGCTCTGCAATGCTGCTCACGAACAGCCGAAGGGAGACCGTGTCAGGCAGCGTCCGAGGAAGACGATGCACCGAATGAAGCTGCAAAGGCTACTAGGGCCGCGAACCCTGGGTGAGAACACTCTCCTCCCCAGATGGAAACGCAAAAGCTGAGGAGAGGGAAGAAAGGCTGAAGACTGGACCAGCGTCCGAGCTCCCTAGAATAACCGCCATCTGGACAAGCCGGGTTGGCAGCATGCGGCTGGGCACACCCTGTTTCCCCAGTGGACACTACATTCAGCAGGCCTATCCAGGAAGGCAGTTTGCCAGCCAAGGACTCAGAAGCTGCGGTGTGGGCCAGGGCCCGCCATTCTGCCTCCTTGCTCGGACTGCAGTAACCCTGCAGGCTCTTTGTGACTTATCCACCCTCCAGAGCTAAAGAGTCTGCCACCAAGCTCAGCCACCAGGGAATGCGCAGTTCTCAGGAAGATCCAAACCTCTCTACCGGAAGCTGAGTGAGCTGGAGTACCAGGCAGGAAGACACCTATGGGAACCTGACGGCAGCCTGACCAGAGCTCTGGCAAGAAACACTGCAGCAGAATCTATGGTAAAAGGAGGAAGCCGCTCAATGGCAGTGACTTGGCACTCTGTGGACAGGTCATTCCTAATACTGAGAAGAAATGAATGGTTACAGACAGGCGTCTGAGCTAACCGTGTCCCTGAAGTTTATTCTAGAAAACCCTGGTATTCTTGCCCTTGCTACCTCAATCACTGGCGCATCTTCTCCAGACAGAAACCACTTAACTAAACCTGCCTTCTCCATTGGACAGGCTACTAGAAACGGGAGGGACTGGTAGGCCCAGGGCACCTGGTGCCTGAGGAGAGGTTTGCAGCTCATGGATAACGTCTGGCCTGAGGTAACACGATGCCAGCACCCAGGGAAGAAAGACCCCACAACAACATGTCTGCCAAGACACCCATCAGCATTCAGGGGCGCCTCCCAGCCCAACAAGACGCAAGGCCACCACAGCTAGGCAGCAGATCACAAAGAACAGTTTTGTGTCCCCTGGCTGTGAGTTGCAGAAAAGGCACGAGTTGTTATATCCTTACTGAATTGGGGAGGAAATAAGTGGTGTATGTCCACTCCGTCCAGAGATTCAACATGGGGCAATCTACATTAACTTATGAAAGATAGGAAAATGCTGGCAAGGGGGAGGCAGTAGCTGAAAGCAAAAGCCAAAAGAGGGCAGGATATGGCTTGCTGTGTCCCCATACGGACCACGCCCTGACAAGGACCCTTTGTCCAGGCGGTGGAGGTAGCTGAGAGAGCCCAAGACTTTGGGGTGTGTGTGTGTGTGTGTGTGTTGGGGGGGCAGGTTGCTTCTAACCAAAGAGCAGTGAGTTGTCCCTTTCTCACAGGTCTCCCCAAGTATGTGCATTAAATCAAAGCTCAGCACAGGTGAGGTGCTCTCAGCCTCCCCGGAATCTGCGGCTCACCTCCATGTGAGCAGAGGAAGCCGCTCGTCTTCCCAAAGATGCTCTCTTCTCTACTCCTCCTGGGGAAGGAGCTTATGCCGATGGGCAGGACCCCTGGGCAGGTCCCCGGGCTTCCTACTCCACCTGGAGCCACCTTAGTGCCACAAGACCAGCCATAGCTCTGCCAGACCCTCCTCGGCTTTGCCACTAGCATCTCACCCTCAGGATGAGGGCGCCATCTTAAGCAGCCAGGAGGCAGAGACCCTGAACCAGGAAAAGGTGAGCATATGCAAATGAGTGAGTGAAAGACAGAATTTGGGGTACAACTGAAAACCTCAAGACCAGGGTTGGGGAACTGCTCTGCTGTGAGATGGGATGGCTCTTACTGGTTCCTGTTTTAATTCTCTCCCCCTTCAAATCCAAGCCGCAGCACTGGGCCCTGGCAACTCCAACTTTGGTCCCAACACTTTGTCAGGAAACCTTTCCAAAAGGCCTAACTGGAAAACTAATTTAATACACTTTGCTTCAAGGTTTATTCCTTGGCTCAATTCCCAGACAGAAAGCATCTCTGCACAATCGTTATGCAGATACTACTGAAAGGACATGAAATGCCTGCTGATAATTTAGCCAGAGATCCACGGGGACTTACTGCGGAAGGGAAAAGGATGTACTGATGAACCAGAAGCAAGGGTGTTTAAGAACGGAATACCTTTGCAGGACACTTAAATGTTTGCCTGTGGGTCTCATCACGTGTTGGCTAGGAACTGGATCTCAAACATGTGTCTTTCCTGTACCTCGTTCTGCTAGTGTAAGGCAGAGACGGGCCCTGAGTGAGGAGTTCAGAAGGGCAGCGTGTCTCCTCGCTGCCCCTGCGAGACATCCTAGCAAACTAAGGCTAGAGACAGGCGAGCAGCAGCATTCTTCATCACATAAAGAAACTGGAAGTGGGCCCCATGGTGAGGACAGCCAAGGAAGTGAGCCTTTCCTCTTTCTTAATAGTCTCTTCCATTTCCCAAAAGTACCTGTCAGAATTTACACCAGTATACCAGGCCTATGAGGCACACGCACACCCCGTGGGTCACAGTGCACCACGTGGGAGGGAGGGTGGGAGCCCTCACCTACGGACTCTTCATCAATGTCAGCATCAGCACCACCCTGGCCCAGAGGGCAGACAGCCTGGCTCATCTTCCAGAGCCATGGGCAATCTGCTGTCATAAGCATCTTCTAGTATGTGGGGATAGAAGCCACAAAGGCACACTGATTGGTCTTTTCAGCTCAGGAAAACAGGAAAATGTAATGGTGGAAGAAGACCTGACTTCCACGAACTGCAATTAGAAAATCATACTCAGGAAAAAGGAGACGTAGGCAGGAAACTGAGCTTCAAACTGAGCATGGTTAATGCCACCATGGCCAGAACGGGCAGCACAATGAAAGGCAGGCAGGCAATGGAAGATTTGGCAAAAGTCTCAGCATTCATCACAAGGGGAGTATGGCCTGTGTGTTAGTGGTTCACATCTGAAATCCCAGCACTTGAGAGGTGGAGACAGGGAGACTGGGAGCCACACTCTTGGCTACACATCAAGTTCAAGATCAGCCTGGAACCCTGACTCAGGACGACAACAATGAAGCCCTAAGAGGAATCAAGTCAGCCCTTGACAGCTAAAGCCTAGAACCAAATGGCCCACAGTTGAGTTGGACACAGATGTGTGCCCCCAGGTGTGTGGCCCCCCCAGATGTGTACCTCCTAACCAGGGCCCTACAACTAAGTGCCAGACAGCTCCCAGACGTGTTTCCTTAACAGTTTCCCTTAGGATACTTCTAACAACTTAGCAACAGACAGGAAAACGAAATGTACCCCAAACCTCATCCTCCAAGTTTCCATCCACTACACTCAACATTATTTAGTTAAGATTCCACACCCAGGCCCCACCCAGCTCCATTCCCACCCTGGTCTACCATCTCCTCAGGCAAGGGGCTGCGCTGCACAGACGGCCGGGCCCACGGCCACCATGTTCCACGTACACAAGACAAAGTGGCAGACACCCAGCCTGCAGCGCATCACCACAGCAGACTTCCGGCCCAGAACAAGGAGCGAATGCAAAGACAGCAGCGTCCCCCATTTACCAAAACCAGCCTCGCCACCCTTAAAGGCACTGTGCTCTCCAGCGGACCCCACCCTTCACCCCAGGATTAGGAACAGAGTCCCTGAGGACGAGGGCGGAAGTAGAGAGGAAGCTGCTACCGCATAGGTGCCTTGCCTCTCTCAGCTCCAGTAGAGGATGAATTCCTTCTCCTGCCACTTTTGACTGGGGCATCACTAATTTGTCTCAGCTTCACTAGAGATGTGCTCCTTTATGCCTCTGTGTCTACCACGCCCCGTGGGGCCCCCACCTTCCCTCCCGCAGGCTTACACTGCAGATCAGTCAAAGTGTGGTTCAAACGAGAAGCACTATATTATTGTGAAAAAAAAAAGGGTTATAATAACTCACAGAAGTTATTCCAAAGAGGGAAAAAATAAATTATCTCATATAAAATAATACACACGATGTCTGTAAGTAACTCTGGCTCCCGCTTGCTGCCGCCATCCACTCCCAGCTCTGGAGGCAGACCTTGTCTGGAAGTGGCGCCCCCTCCACGACAGAGCTGGGTCCCTCCTGCGGAGCTGCATCCGGGGATCAAATGAGCCTGGAATTCTGCAGGAACTGGACGAGCACTTGGTAGACGAACTTGTACTGCGCAATGGTCTGGATCATGAACATCCTCTGCTCCCTGAGGAACCTCAGCATCGTGGGCACTTCCACCTTCTGCAAGGGCAAAGAAAGGGCACACAGCCTGAGTCAGGATGCCTCTCCCGGGCTCCTCCCCGTTGGGGGAGCCTCTGCTCACTATGCACGCTCACTGTGTAAAACCACAGCAGGTGCGGGCAAGGGATCTGCCCCTCCTTCCAGGGCTTTAGGAGGCAGCTCTGTGCCAGGATGGAGAACCTTGTCGCTGGTGCCATATTATTCATTCTTGTGCTCGTGTTTCCCTGTGTGGGTACAACTGAAAGCTGTTCGAACTAACACTGCTAAGTTCTGAGCAGTGAATGGTGGCAAATGTCAAATACCCAAATACCAGGCCCTTCCTCCTCCCTTCCCTTTATATTTAGGTTGAGACAAATATGGGGAAATTCACTCTGTGGTCTAGGCTGACTACAAACACACGATGATCCTCCTGCCTCAACCTCCTCGTTAACTATTCCTTTTTAAAAAGAAAAAATTTTTATTACATTTATTTGTGTGTGTCCTAGGGATCGAGCTTGGGTGGTGAAGCCTGGTGTTCAGTACCTTTACCCACTGAAGCAGGTATCTCTTTAGTTGTGGGACATGTGTGTGCACAGCAGTGTTTGGGTGTGAATACACGGACGTAGACGCTGGATGCCTTCCTCCACTGAGGCGGTGTCTAACTGACCTGGGGCCTGCCGTGGCTCCCTGGGCTGGCTGGTCAGGGAGCCACGGCAGTGTGTGTCACGGCGTTCCCGTCCTGCGTGACCATCTGGGCTGTGTGTCTCATGTCTCCTGGCTGGCAGTGTGCTCGTCCACACCTAGCTTTTCATGGATGCTAAGGATCTGCTTCTCATTCGAGTGCTCTGGCCACCGGGCCACCTCCTCAGCACTCATGGTAGCTGTTTTCCTTGTAACCACCTCCAACACTGCCATTCCTCTGCCTCCCATCCTCCTCCACCACCATGTGCACTTCTCTCATCTCTTCTACCCTCATTACCCACCATCACCATCATCACCACCATCCTCTCCCTATCCCCCATCCCCACCACCATCTCCACCATCCCATCACCCCTCATCATCCCCTCCATCACCCATCACCCATCACCATCCTCACCATCACCCCTCATCATCCCCACCATCACCCATCATCACCCCCACCATCACCCATCATCACCCCATCACCATCCTCACCATCACCCCTCATCATCCCCTCCATCACCCATCACCATCCTCACCATCACCCCTCATCATCCCCACCATCACCCCCCCC